TCACTACCATTGGGGGTACATTTTTACAACCATTTTGAATTGAGCCGCGATGGCACACGGGATACAGCTTTCGCCTTCCAATGCGGCGAACCGGGTTCGAATTCCGCATCCGTCTTGCACCGACCACAGTGCTTACGTGAAATATCCTCAGTGGTTGACGGATCATGGGTTAGAGTGCTCTTGCCGTCAGGCTAACCGTGGAAGGTTCCCGTAGTCTTCTTCTCCATGTAACGCAAAAAGTCCTCCACGAAGGCAAATTTCTCCCATTTCTCGATCCAGAGTTCCCTTGTCTTCTGGATTGGGTTCAAAATTACAAGGCTACGGAGTCGAACATTAGTAATAGTAAACCCATAAAATTGGATCGGCTGTTCAACGACGGTTATAAAATAAAAAATAAAATTTTGAATTGTGGCATGGATAGCCTGGTTGGTAGGGCTCTGGGCCTGCGTCCAAGAGGTCATGGGTTCGATATCAGCCGGCCGGCCCCTGTAGTAAATGGTGACGTAAAATCTGTCGGGTCACAAAGACCTCTATGCTCCCATAGCAAATCATGCCTTTGGGAATACTGATCCAGGAGTCTTCTGGATTGATTCAAAATTACAAAGCTACGGAGTTGAACATTAGCAGTCATAAACCCAAAATTGGGCCGACTGTTCAACGACGGTTATAAAGTAATGTAAAATAAAATTGTTTTGAATTGTGTTGTGGTGGCTCAGTGGATAGAGCCTTCCAATCAGGTGAACCGGGTTCAAATCCCAGCAATGGCTAGTAGATAAAAATTCCGGCTTGTACCAAGCACGACAGTGATGACGTAAAATTTCCTCAGAGTGGTAGACGAATTATGGGTTAGTGTACCCTTGCCGCCTAACTAACAATAGGCGGACTTCGTGGTTTTCCTCTCAGTGTAAAGCAACGGGTTAGTTCTATCAAAAAGTCCGCCACGAAGGGAAATTTCTCTCAATACTTGATCCATGAGTATCCTTGTCTTCTGGATTGGGCTAAAAATCACAAGGCTACGGAGATGATCATCAGTAGTCGTAAACCCTAAATTGTGTCGGCTGTTCGATGGTTATGAAATAAAATAAAAATCATTTTGAATTTAATTTGTTAACCAGAAATACGTTTAAACTGCAAGATATTGAAGATAAGTTCGAAGTTATTCTTTACACTCGAGAAAATGATGAAACAACGTGCTTATATCCCTTCAAATCCTTCTTCAAATTCAAAACTCTCGCTCGTGTTTAATTAAAATGTAAAACAGTTAAAAATTAACAGTTAATAAATACTGTGATTAATTTATAATTAAGTGTATTTGTAAAGTTTAATTTTGAAATTTTTAATTTCTTAGTATAGATATGCCGGTTTATAGAATCAAATTTGACCGGTGCAATTTTACGAAGTGGTGCACAGTTGCTTGAATCGAAAAAATGCTGATCGAAATTCAGAATTATCCAAATTTATTTTCCTTGTTCATAACTACTTTTTGATGACCAGAGAAAAATTTAATCACAACAAAATTTGTGTTCGATTATTCACATTTAAATAATTTGCTGACTTTATATTTTATTGCTCATGTGAGAGAAGGAAAAAAACCTACGTAAACAGTTTTGAAAATTTTGACAGCATAATTAATTTTTGAGAAATATATTTACTTTATTAAAATGTTGTGTTTGTAAGTAGAATAAATAAAAAATGTATTTCATTTTCAGCTATCGACTTTTTTTTAAAACATGCATTTTAATTTCTGATTTTTTTAGAAATGTCGTAAAATTTAAAAATATTAAAAGCATATAACAATTTTAAAACTGTATGGTTCTTGTAAAGAAACGTTTATACAATGAAAAACAAAAACATTAGATTAAAACGAAACAATATTTGAATCAAGAATATTAAGAATCAATAGGTAAAAATATTCTGCTCGCATTTGACTTGAAAACATCTTTTGCGTCGGTAAACTTTGTTTCAAACAACCAACAGAGAGCGTATAGTGTTCTGAATCGAAAAACAGATGGTCAAATGCTAAAGAAAAAAAAAAACAGTCATTGAAATAATAGTTTTTTCGACGTAAGTTCTGAGCTGATATTAGATTTTTTTTATCATTGTTAACTAAGGGTAAAAACAGACATTTTTTTGTAAAATGTAATAATTTAATTCCTTTTTGACAATAGTGTTAAGATATTGTGTTGAACGAATGCTAAATGATAGTAAAATACATGAAAATTACATTTACTTGAAAATTAAATTACATGAAAAATATATTTTTTAAAAACATGTATTTCATTTTCTGAATTTTTAGAAACTTTGTTGAATACAAAAGTGTTGGCTACCTTACCTTTGGCAGCTACCAAAGTTTCATGGTTCTTGAAAAGAAAAGTAAATACAATGAAAAATAAAAACAATTACCTGTGACTATTATCGTAAAAAGATATTAAAAATTGAAACGTTTCTATTTTAATGACCTAAGTTTTGTTTACCGCTATGTGATTGGTTCTGGTTTATTTTTATATACATATACATTTTATTTTCAAGTCGACAAATATTAGGGGACCCCCCCCCCCCCCNGGCCCCCCCCCCCCCCGATTGTAAACTACTACTAAACTTACTTAAACATATTAACTTTTGACACTTATTATTATGAAAGTTTTTGTGCGTTTACATGAACAGCATTTGATTACTGAACAAATCGAATTCAAAGTTTGCATCTGAAAGACTGAGTTTTGCTCTGTAATTAAGTGACATTTTATTTCATTCTGAAATTACTGTAATATGTTTTCATAAGCTTGATTCCATACCTTAAACATTTTAATTTTCAATTGGGTACTTACATCGAATATCTGAATGTTAATGAATAAAAAACAACATCAAAATAACAGTGAGTCACAGCAGAATTTTGATCTACTTTATTGGGCCGAAAATTTAAACTACTTGCATATGATTTTATGTACTGTCTGACTAATGAGCAATCAGAATCTCTATACATCGACTTCTCTGATGGGCCAATCTGAATCTGTATTTCTACTGCTATTTGGCCGGACTAAATATATAGTATATATCTACTGCTGGTTTACCAGTTTGAAAAGAGTCTAAATCTATGCATCTGCTGCTGTTTTACCATTCTACATCTGTACATCTACTGCTGTTCGACCAGTCTGACTTCATTATTCCATTTTTTTATTTGTTTAGTTACATTTATTCTTTTTTATAACGATTTTCATGTTTATGTATATGTATTTTTTTTCTATCTTTATATTTTTTACTTCGCTGGAAAAAGGGGACATTACGAAGACAATTTGAGTTTTTTCGTTTTTTTGTTCGGTGTTTTATTTTTTTATTTTCGGGGAGTGGCTTTTGTGCTCATAAACAACGCCAGTATTTTTAAGTAACTCGATGTTAAGTTGGCGAGCGTTAGCGAGCAATGGGCGCAGCCCACTAGTTAAAAATAATATTAATGAAATATCCAAAATATTACTTACAGCTTTCCACAAATGTTACAAAAGATCTTTTCCATTTTCAAAAAAAATTTTTTTTGACGAAATATGAATTAAACGTAAAATTTTGTAAGAGCGAATTTGAATTGATGCTAAAATTATTTTTGGAGATTGAAAAGAATCTTACATTGTTCACTTCTTTACCACTATTTTTCATTGTTTAACTTTTTTGTGAATTTCCCTGGGGGAATATTTTGGATTGTTGCTAAAAAACCAACAAATGCTTCAACAATGCCCCGCTTTTTCTAAATTTGTATTTAAAAGTTTTACAGAACATCTCAAATAATACAAGAATAAGAAATTATTTAAACAGATTTCCTCCTTTATAATACTTAGAGTTTCTATACAAAACATTTCTTTACATTTTTGCAGTTAATTTTATAATTATTTAATACAAAGGTGCTCTGACAGTAAAAAAAGTCACCCATAAGGGTAACTTTTTTACAGGCAGAAATGTGAGGATGGCAGTCTCAAATTTCTTGTATAGAAGACTTTTAAAAGAATGGAGTATTAAAAGAAGAATAAACAAATAAAAACGATATTGGAGAGACATATATTTAATAAAAATGTAAATGAATAGATTAATTTCTTTATGTAAATGCATGCAGAAATTATTCCTTGATAAAAGATTTCTGTCTGCCAAGAAAATACATTTGATTTTTTTAATAGAAAAAAATGGATTAAATTTGTTTCAAAATCATATTGTTTTGTTTAAAAATTCACTAAATAAGAAATTTAATTGTTTGTTACAAATAATATTAGTAACTGATGAAAGGCTTTACTATTCTTAATGATCAATGAGCAGCTATCTGGATGCCATGAGTTGTTGTCTCCCCCCCCCTTGCTTGCTGCCTCCCCCACACTTTTGAGTTGTTCGGATTTACATTCTGTAAAGGAGAGTTGTTCGGATTGAGTTGTTCGGATTTACATTCTATGTCTCGAATGAATTTTACATAGAATATGCATAATAGTTATTTGTAATCATGACGGAATATACTAATTTGGTCCTAAAACGCACTTTTTCTGAGTTAAGGTTCGAAGTTTGGTTACTTTCATATTATTTTAAAGTTTCACACTTATTTTCTAATATTTTGAGAACTTCATTGAATAAAATTAACTCTTTTTCAGAAGTCGGCCGAAAGACAAAATTACAAGGAGATTTTTGAATGAATAATTTTCATATATCATTTTATTATTTATGAAAGAAAATTGAATAGTAGGTATAAATATTTATGGTTTTTTAAAACCTAAATCTAGTTTTTCTTGTAATTTGTTTTATAAAAAATGCTTTAAGGCTACAGTGGACTCTTAACAAGTTTTTCCTAAAAAATAATGTCACATTGCTGTAACTTGCAGAGATTGTTTATATTTAGAACTTAGAGAACATAGATTTTGATACATGTTGTTGTGTTGTGCCTTATCCTCCAAATGTCTGACGAAGTTAGTCCATCAGACCGTTGACCCTAAGGAAATCGAGGACCAGATGAGAAAAAGAATAAGAGATTTGAAAAATTATCTAAAAAAAAAAAAACAAGAATTTATTTACAATATTGTTACAAAGTGCTTTCCTTCACATGCGACACTTCGTGTGCAAAATTGAGTTTCTTTATACCATCAGGATGGTTTTCTGTTCCGTGCAATGCAGGGAATCACAAGCCAGAAATTCATGCAAATAAATGATAAGATTCCAATGCCATAGAAGATAAAGTCATAGGAGCCAAAACCTTCTCTGAAGAAACCTATGGTAAAATTTGTTATTAATGCATTAATATCATGTAATATTACATAGACGTTCAAGTGTCATCGCTTAGACTGCGAGTAATCAACTTTGATTGCAGCAATGAAATTTATCCTCACCACAAAATTTGAAAGCTACCCATCGTTTGTGGTTGCCCCCTTTTAAGCTGCTTTCACACAAGTTTTTCATTCCTGAATTAAATAGATACCCCACAAAAACAAATTAAAATAAATGTTATATAACACAAGAATAAATTGAAAGATACGTCTTTCTGTAAGGTTCAACACAACCACGGAACTAGCTGCTTCGTCGTCCCTCAATGAAATAGATATCCCACAAAAACAAATTGATAATTTGTAAGCTACGAATCGTTTGTGGTTGCCCCCTTTTACATGGTGGACGCTAGAGGACGAGAGCTTGAACGGCGAAAGGACCAGCGGTAGGGAGTCAGTAGAGTCCATGGAGCTAGGAGTTACTCCTAGCTCCATGGCAGAGTCAGTCAGGTCAGTAGAGAGGGAGATAAGGAATGATAGATTTATGGGGAATTAGAATGCAGAACACCTTATCTTAACAATTCGTTCTTGTGGAATATAACATTTCTTTCAATTTGTTTTTGTGAGATCTCTATTTCATTGAGGAACGAAAAAGCTGTTAGTTTTCAGGCTAATTCTTCGTAAATCCATCAATCCTTATTTTCCCTCTTACGCAACCATAGTATGCTTACCATGCACCCTTAATAGTTTTAAACTAATGGAAGAATACATACGAATATAAATGTTATTGCTCGATGGTTGGTCGATTGGAATCCCGCATCCGGCTAGCACCGACCACAGTGCTGACATAAAATATCTTCAGTGGTAAACTGATTATGGGTTAGAGTCCCCTTCCCGCCAGGCTAAACGTGGGAAGTTTTTGTGGTTTTTGCTCTTCATGTAGCACAAATGCTGGTTAGTTCCATCGAAAACTCCTCCAAGAAGACATATTTGTCACACTACTTGATCCAAGAGTGTCCTTGTCTTCTGGATAGGGTTCACAATTACAAGGCTACGGAGTTGAACATTAATAGTCTTTAACCCAAAAGATTGGATCGGCTGTTCAACGACGGTTAAAACAAATGAATGAGGTGACCCAGGTCGAATTTCAGCTGTGTTTTTGATTGGTACGTTTTTTGCACCCGGCTCCCACTGACCATTGTGCTGACGTCAGTGGTAGTCGAATCATGGGTTAGAATCCACATGCCTTCAGGCTAACAATGGGGATCCTCGTGGTTTTCCTCTCCATGGAACACAAATACGAGTTATTTCCATCAATAAGCTCCCCACGAAAGCTAGTGTATCCCAACGTTTGGTTCAGATCTTTTCTTGTCTTCTGGTCTGGGTTCAAAATTACAAGGCAGCGGAATTCATAATCGGAGTCAGGGTGCGTAGCCAAATCTTTGAATCAAAAATAAGCACTTTTTAAAAACTTTTCAAGCACTTTACAAAAATTTTCAAGCACTCAAAAAACTCATATTCAATCAGTGATATCATTGATAAACAAAAACTTTTTATAAACAGTTTTAGCGTTAAAAAAAACCCAAAAAGAAACAGACGTAAATCGAAACAATCAGTACTTTCCCGCATCATCGAGTGAATTCAACTTGACCCTGAACTCAGAACAAAAGTACCCTTACCCCCTACGTCAAAATAGTGTTAGAAATAAAATAAAATAAACAATAATAAAATTAAAATAAATTAAAAAGAAAAACATTTCATAAGGATCTGATATTCTCCATCCGAATTGGAGCACTCGGGTTTCGGTTTCAAGCGTGCGTGCATGCGCAAGTCATAACGTGGGTACGACATGAAGTCCGCGTGAATGATTCCGTAGCAAACACCCCATTTTTCGTGAAATGCATGGGATCCACCAGATATCACTGAAGGAAGAAAAAAAATTATTCGGGAAAAAAAGCACTTTTTAAAAACGCCAGCTGAAAAATTGACCTTTAAAAGCTTTTAAAAACGAAATCCCCAAAAAAGTACCTTTAAGTACTTTTTACAAACGCTACGCAGCCTGGGAGTTTATAATCTGGGTTGGGTTCAAAATTTCATTAATAGTCATAAACTCAGAATTGGGTTGGCTGTTTCATGCGGTTATAAAATAAAAAGGGTGTTTGCTTCAAGATATTTTACCTTAGTCTTACATCATACTTAAATTCGCTTTACAATGAAAGCATTTTAATTACAAGTTAACTCAATGTAATTTAATAGTTCAAAAAACAGCAAGTTAAATAAGATTATTTAAAATAAAAAATAGTAAGTAGCACACTAAAATAGTAATTTGACTGGCTAACTTACCAATTAGAGGAGCCACCGTTAGGCACAGAGGTCCAGATAAAAAGTAGCTCGTTGGTATGGCTATAGTCTGCTTTTCTTCCTCGATGAATTCTGCTATAGTCAAGGGGAATATTAATATGAATCCTGCTTCTGACAATCCGTAGAGGGCAGCCATTGTGACCAGCATAGTGAAACTGGATGACCACGGAATGACCATCGTCGTTACCCCTTGGAAAAAGAAGCACGCCGCTGCAAAGTGGGACCTAGTCATGTAGCCTGCGTCTGTCACCCAGCCTAGGCATAAGCGTCCGATAAGATCACCCACAGACAGTGACATGATTATGAATTTTTCGTTCGCCTCTCCTACATTAATGTCTTTGGCGAAATCCACAAGAACTGTAATCATGCAGACGAAAGTAGAACTGTATATTGCGTTTGTCAGGGCAATGAGAATGAATGTTGGATCGAATATGATCCCAAAAGGGGAAGAATTTGGACGAGAGGTCTTAAAATTGTTTTCTTTTCTTGGCGTAGAGGCTAAATATTCATAGCTCCTGGAATAAGTGTCTTCTTTGATCAGTGTTTTATTCACAGATTCAGTGGATACGGCATTTGAGATTCCATAAAACCTCTGTGGGAGGGGATTCTTGAATTTAGTTTGATCTTCGATGTCTTTCCGCTTTTCGTTCTTTTTAGTCGACTCACGACAAAGGTTCGGTTTATGAACAGTTATGGATAGTGGAGGGTCTTCGACGGTATACAACTTGACTTTCTTACCGTTTGTGATACTTTGTTTCTCATCGCTGTTATCAGGTCTTCTCAGAAGCAGGGCAACTGGAAGGCAGTTGAGTACAAAACCAGAGAGGAAGAGAAATGTTTGGGAAAGTCCATAATTGTTGATAAGATATTCCACAACAGGTGGAAGTACAAAAGATCCCACACATGCTCCTGAAAATGAAATACCTGAGGCTGTGGCTCTTTTTTCACTGAAATGTTGATTAATAGCAATGGGTAATAAAATACTTCCTAAACCAAAACCAAGTCCTGAAAATAAACAATTGAAATAAGGAAAAATTATTTAGGCCAAGAGTTTTGAACCTATAGTTTCCTACTCAAAATTTTGTAAAATGAATTGAAACGAAATTTTTTGTCATGCAAAATTGCATCTTTTATTTGAATTTATTCCTAAATTTAGATTTCTGCAGTAAAAGTTAAAGGAAGGGAGTTGTTGAGACCTTCTTATAGTTTGTCTACTGTAAGAACTACCCAGCCACAAAGTCTGAGGCCCTCTGCTGCTATGGAAACAAGAATAGTGCATTTCGGGGAGGGTAGCTTCGCTTCCCTCTAGGGCTAATACAATAGACCGAATTAAAAAAACTTCCTTTTTTTTTCATCTACCCCACATCCATACTTGAAAAAGTTATACCTCGTTACCATAGTCGCCGCCATTGGTCCAGACGAATGGTTAGGGGAGTTCTTACTTTAGACAAACTATACGTGAGAATGGGAGAGGTTTAGTCAAGAGAAGGGGAGTCTAAGATAGGCAAAATATATGTTAGCGTAATATTTGAACTGTCCTAAAGGATATTGCAATACTAATTATATGATATGATGATTTGATGAAAACACAATATGACGAAATAATATGATGAACTTTGATAAATTATATGATGAAAATACAATAAAAAGAGATACTGCTTTTTAGACCCACTGGAAAAAGAAAGCGGGGGAGACCGCGGTTGAGATGGGCTGACTCAGTAGAGCCTGATTTTCTCGCAATTAATGAAAAGAATTGGAGATGAAAGATAAATCGAAAGTCGTCTTGGCGAAATCTTCAGAGGAAGGCATTGGCTCACTTTGGGCTGTCTGGGCAACTATGATGATGGTGGTAATTATATGAAAAGACTATTTTATTGCTCCACCATTTTTTTTGATGCATTAAATATAATAATTTACCAATTGTCTTGAATTTTAAAAAAATATTTAAAGAAAGCAATCATTCATGTCAGTTCTACACGCAGAGAAAATTAGCCAATTCGTGTTAACAGGTTTTTTTAGGATGCATAAGCTCATGGGATTCCCTTTCAGCGCTTTTTTATTTAAATTTTTCAATGGAATTCGTTCGACACTTATGTCAATCTTATTTTCACGTCGAGAACAGCTTTTTCAAATAATCAAAAAATGAATGTTTATCTAATTTAATTTTTGTAAACAAAATAATTCGTACTCAACAAATATTTCAGTGTAAAATTATAAGAATATTTTAATTTGGTATTATTATTTTAAATTTTACAATGTATGTTAAAATATTTGAAGTTTTCGTTTCGCTTTTTCAAATAAGAAAGAAAATTTTAGCTGGATTTTTCTTTGTGATTTTTCCAGTTAAATATGACGAGATTTAATGTTTATAAACATATTTCTATTCGCCTCCCGTTCCCCCCATGCTAGCCTTTCATTCATCTTGCCTGTTTTTTCTTGAAAATCGATATTTCGAAAAACAAACAACGATCATTTTGTTAATAAATTATAAACAATATACGATAATAATACATTTAACCAGAACATTTTTTGGCTAATCATCACGAAATGAAGGAATAACTACCTTAATTTTAAAAAATACCAACTTTACTTAAAAAATTTAGAGTTAGGATTACGTGACACACTATACGAAACAAAGGAGAAGTATTTTACATTATATAACGATTACTTTAAATCGCAAAACATATCTAAATCCGGAACGTTTTTTTTAAATCTTTAATGAGTTTATATTTTTTAAGACATATTTTTCAATTTTTTAATATTTCTAGAAATTTTGATATAGTAGTTTTATTTGGCAACTTCTTATGAATCTTTTTCTTATATTTAAATATTCTTTTTCCTTATGGTAGCAAGTGGCTTAACATAAGCCTAAATAAAGCGGCTTAAAAATGGAGATCTTTAGAGAGATAAATTTTTCTACAAAAGTATTTATCATAAAAAATAATTAAAAGGCTCTTTAATAACTTTCGAAAATAATGAAGTTTTAGCGTAAAGTTAAGTGAAATAGTCGATTTCAGGCATGTCAAATTTGATCTCTGTAGATGTATTTATTTAGTACTTTTTCTTTTTTTAACTAAAAGTTTAATAGTTGATAATTATCAAACTAAGAATCAAGTGTTAAATTTTGTTCCAATGTACAGTGCTAAAAAAATAAACAGACCACCCTGAATAACTTTTGATCCGGATCTTCGCGCTCTAAGACTCAATCTAAATGGTTGGAATGGATGATTTCAAATATGCTACTTACTTCGTGCAGACGATATTTTAAGTTGTGAAATTGGACACAAAAATTAGAATAAACAAACCTTTTCTTCGACCTTTAACAAACAAACCTTTTCTTTCTAATAAGACTTCTGACCCCCAAAATATAGGGCGAAACCTGCGTATAGTTTGGTCAGGAGAGTAGCCCAAAATAATACTTATAATATCGTCTGCTCTAATTAACTACCATATTTGAGATCACTCCTTGCGAGTCCTAGAACGTGAAAATTTGATCATTAGATCAAAAGTTATTAAGGTAAGTCCGTTTTTCATTTTGCGCACAGTACTCTTTGTGTACACTTTTCTACGCAACTTTGTAATTTTAAGTTATAATCATTGCGTAGTTAAACAAAATTTTCAGAACAAGAAATTGATATATTTTCAGATTCTTACAAAATTATTGTGGCCTTTCAAAAATTGAAAATATTAACTAAAAAATGCTTTGACTAAAGTACGCAAGGCTGCCTTAATGCAACGAGTTGTTGCGTAAAGCCATTTTAAAAGGTTATTACCTACCAAATATTACTCCCCACAGCACTGTAATGAGTTTAATACTCTCAGCCAAATAGCAACACCCGATTCCAATTGCAGCTATAATGCTGCCAATCGACGTGACAAGACGAACGCCAAATCGATGTCCTAGATAGCCAACAAGAGGACCTAAAAAGAACATTTTTAAATCATCGAAAGATATTTACGTTAGATGTTTACTATTAGAGGAGATAAGATGGAACTAACCAATGAATGACTAAATAATAACTGTCTAATAAAAAAAATTAAAGAAAAATAGAGATAGGTACGTATTAATTGTTGCGTTTTGTAATATATATATACAGATGTACACCATGTATTCACAGAAATATATATCTTTGTGGGTCACTATTGGCACTAATAGATTTTGGTGATCAAAATTTAATAAAAAAGCTTTTTTTCGAAGAATTTTGAATGACCTTTGACCTACAATGCAAATTGTTCACTGAAAGTATGTATGTCTTATACTGAACGTAGCAGAATATAAAGTAACCGTCAGTGACGCGATTCACTCGTTTCACAAAAAGTCTTGTCACTTGAAACTGATGGATATTTATCAAAAATTTTAGAGGATCTTCAATTCTGCTCCCCCCCCCCTAAATTTCGAGAAATTTTTTTTTTTTGTAAATATAATTATACAAAGAACGTATCCTGAAAATTTCAACAAAATCAAAAATATAAAGTATCCAAACCTGTCTGATTCGCCTGATTTTATTTTAAAATAATTGGCTCTTAAATATATAACAGTAAGTATATTTTAATATCTTTAAGGTGTATGGGAAACGGCTATAAAACATTCATGTTATGGTGATTTTACGTTAGAGTAATAATAATATTTTGATGATCATATTATTTTGATGATATCATTACATTCTGCGTGCATGTATCGTCATTATAGCCAAGATTCATATGATCATGTTATTTTGATGATATCATTACATTCCACGTGCAAGTATCCTCATTATAGCCAAGACTCATAATAAATGGTTTATGAATTTTGTCACAATGTGTGATATTCTTTCAATTATTTAACCATATATTTATATTAATAAACTAATTTATTTTCCTTGAAGAATCTTAAACGCAACTATGGAAGCTTTACGAACTTATTGAATTAGAATCAATGGTTAATTAATTTTTTTATTCTCCATATATGGCGCAGAAAAATTAAGCTTTGAAGAATGATTTTAATCAGTTTTTAGCATAGATTAATATTCGTAACCAGGTGTTATTTGTAAATTAAGTTATTGATTCTGCATTGATTTGATTAAATATTAATAATTGAAATTTTGTATCGCATGTATTGTAGTGGCAAATATTTTACCACCAACCAAAGTTCATTACTGATGCAAAAAGCGTGATGTAATATTAGATGGAGGAGTTTTATCTTTGCATTATTCATCAAGAAAATTTGCGTACAAAGTGTTTTTTTTTTAAACATTGAAACCATTAAAGATGCAGCTGCAAAGACGGTTGACTTCATTCATTCCAAAAATGACATACGCCCGCGTTTTTCTGAATTGATTAGTTATTGTGACGCTTTAGTATAAGAAGATTCTTATGTTAGAGTCTCCTCGTTCAGCACCGGTTATAATTCCGGCGTAATTTTATTTCCGAATCGATTTGTACCAGTTTGTCTGAGTGCCATTGATCACGAAATTGTGAATCCTTAACCTCCATGACCCCAACTGTCTTACTTTTAAGTCGTGGTGGCTCAGGGGATAGAGTATTTGCCTTCCAATGAGGTGAACCATATTCGAATCCCAGCGATGGCTGATCGATACCAATTTCTTCCCCGGCTCGCTCCGTCAACAGTGCTGACTCAAAATATCCTCAGTGACATACGGATCATGAGTTAGAGTCCCTTTGCCATCAGTCTAACCATGGGAGGTTTTCATGGTTCTCCTCTCCATGTGACGCAAATGCGGGTTACTTTCATTAAGAAGTTCTCCACGAAGGCAAATTTCTGTCAATACTTGATCCAAGAGTTCCTTTGTCTTCTGGATAGGTTTCAAAATCGCAAGGCTACGGAGATGAACATTAGTAGTCGTAAACCCGAAAGATTGGGTCAGTTGTTCAACGACGGTTATAAAATATAAAGTATTTAAATGTGAGTCGTGATGACTCAGGGGATAGAGCACTCACCTTCCAATGAGGTGAACCGGGTTCGAATCTCAGCGACATCTGGTAGATACGAATTCCGCCCTCTTCTCGCACCGATCACAATGCAGACTTAAAATATCTTCAGTGGTAAATGGATCATGGGTTAAAGTCCCCTTGCTGTCAGGCTAAACATGGGAGGATCTCGTGGTCTCCCTTTCCATGTAACGCAAATGCGGGTTAGTTCCATCTCTACGAAGACAAATTACCCCATAATACTTGATCTAGGAGTTCCCTTGTCTGCTGGATTGGGTTCAAAATTGCAAGTGAACGGAGTTGAACATTAGTAGCCGTAAATCCAAAAGATTGGATCTTCTACGATTATTAACGACGGTTATAAATTAAAATTTACTTGCCATTTTGACTTACCTGCTGTGTTCCGGACGGCTTGTGAGAGCGTATAGGGAACAGACGCTTCCTCCCTTGTGATGTTAAACCTTGGTACTGAGGCGACGAAGAGGACACCTGAAAGCCTCGCCATTCCAAACATCATCATATTGATGAAACAACATCCTAGGGCGATGATCCAACTTTGGAAGCTATCTCTACCTCTTCGTTTCATTTTTCTGCTCTAATCTCCTGTTATTAAAAATAGCCTACTTTTATAGAAATGTTGTAGCATTTTCTTTTAAAATTGGTCTTGAGCAGCAGACCCATTTCTGTGCTATCTTAATTTAACACTTTGCATTTTGAACTCAACCCGGAAAACAAGGGAAATCCTGGATCAAGCAATGGGACAAACTAGCCTTCGTAGAGGACTTTTTGACGGAGCTAATCCATATTTGAGTTACAGAGAGAGAAATAACCATAAAAACGTTCCACGGTTAGCCCGATGGCAAGGAGATTCTAGCCCATGATCCATCTGTCTCCGAGGATATTTTACCTCAGCACTGTGGTCGGTGAGAGCCGGGAACACATTCAACAACCATTGTTGAAATTCGAACTCGGGTCTCCTTATTGGGAGGCGAACGCTCCTACTCTTGAACCACCGCGACTTGTACTACTGGTATTGTACTAATCATTGCTATTTTAATAGTAACCAAATATACTGATATAAGGTATTTATTAAGAGTGTTGTGGTGATGTTTTAAGTCAAGAAAATTATTTGATTGTGGTAAGTTTTGATTATCATGAGTTAGCCGTGAGCATCTTCATGCATAGCCAAATGATACTGAATATAGTTACTCTTAATTTTGACGAGTTAAACTTATTAAAGCACATTTTGCTTAATTTAAGAACGTAAATATTAAAATCAAGCATGGAGGCAAACGAGCCTTCGTGAGGTAACGTTTTGAGGGAACCAACCAGCATTTGCGTTGCATGGAGAGGTAAACCACGAAAACCTTCTACTTAGCCCAATCGAATATAGAATTCTGATATTAGATCTCTCCCTTACTACAGACTAGTACATGTCCCGTTATGATAAATGATTCTTAAAATGCAATCTAGAATTATGTTATTCTAACAATAGTAATAATAAAAAGAATCCTCTTAAACTCTTATTTTAGAAAACAAAATCAAGAGCGTAATAATAACATTACACGTAATTCTAAACTTTTTTTTTTAGGGAAACAAAAATATTTATAGGAAAACAATAACTTTATATCAATTTTATGCCAAATTAAGATGAAAATTAATATCAGGAAACTGGATCCTACCTTGTCATTTTCCAGCCAATAAAAATGTATGAACAACAATGGAAAACTACCACACCATCATTAGATTCTTATATAAAGCAAGATATATATGACATTTATTGTCATATTATATTACATCATGAGGATGTCGACTTTCACCGGTGAATGACAACAATCACATAGTCGTTTAGGTGAATGTCCCAAATATTTGTTACAGCCGACCCGATATTAATTTATTCGTTGATATCAATATATTTATTCGATATTTTAATATCTACTGAAGATAGATTAGGAAAAATATCATGGTTCATAGTACGGGACAAATGTATACCGGGCAGTGGCACTGTACCTAAAAAATAAAAAAAATTGATGTAAGGCATACCGAGCAGTGGCACTTTACTAGTATATATTTCGGACACTTACCAGAACGGCTATGTGATTGTCGCCAACATTCACCGGTGGTTCAATTACTCAGAACAAATGTGCTTACTTTTATTCTAAAGTATTTTAAAAGACCATTCGACATCTGCTGAATTTTAAAAATATTTACATGATTTTCTTTATTTAAAATGCTTAAGATCTAAATAAAATGATAATAATTTTTTTAAAAATTATTAAAGACATAAAAAATTTTTTTCCTCAGAAACCACTTTAAGAGAGTTTTTTTTGTTCTCCGAATCTGCCAAAAATTATTTCTTGCCGCCAATTTTCAAACAATCGCTTAAGTTAATAAATGATTAAGAAAAGTGTCTGAAATAATTGTTATGGAAAAAAAAGAACTTTTTACCTTGAGCCTTATTTTCCACATGTGTTGGATGGGTCCAAATATATTTTTGAAAGCTATTTTCTCTACTAACTTTTGAAGAAGCATTCGCGTTATATGATGAACACTCACAGAAAGAGATTTACAATGAATGCGACGTCAAAGCATTATTTCACCTTTATAGAGTTTCAGATATCAGATAACGGAGACCGGAAAACAAGCGAACACAGGTCAGAGGCTGATTTTTGCTCTCTCATTTAATCACTGCATCATTCAAGAGAGGGAAAACTTATATTATAAAAAAGAATTAAGGGGTGCTTATGTATATATATATACGCATAAGTAAGACGCCACGTGCCTCACATTGAGAATATATATATATATATATTCTCAATGGGGAAAAAAAGGGGAGGGGGGAATAATAAGTAAAAAATAACAAACAACAGTGCTCCTCACACTATTGTATTAATATATTTTGCTTTGGCTTTATTGATACAATATCAGAAAGCACTCTGTTTTGCGGATATAATCGTGTGGGCTGAAGAAAGGATTATATCTTTTTTTTTC